AGACGGCAGAAAGCGGCATCCTATTTTTCTTACTGCTTATTTTACAAAAGCACAAAGATTTGTTTTTATTGTGAATGTACACAAATAAAGGCAAACCTTTTACAATTCCGATTATCTTTAGGACTAAAAGGAGTAGTTGTTTCCACTGTTAGAAGGAAAAAACTCAAGTGATTGCGCACACAGTTAAGCTTTGCTACCTTGACAATGCAGCCTGTTCATTATCATAATAAAATACAGTCAGTCAAACATATGGAACAAAACTATGTAGTAAAATCTGTGCCGTTAAGTGTTATCACCGCACCGCTGTGATGTTATGCAAAGCATTTTGTTTTACGTGGATATTGGAACGCGAGTGAAGTACATAATAAATAATAATTTGCCATTCAAATACATCGCGACTACGGAAACGTTTGATTTTGTGTGGAATGAGAGACGCAACGTTGGTTTCAGTTTCGTTTTAAGCATAAATTAATTCATTTTGGCTTGTCGTTTATATTGCTATAGCTTCTTATATTTTTAATTCTTGTTCTTTTCTAAATACTGTTAATTGAAAGGATTAGTTGTGGAGTGAGGGGAACTACAATAGCCTAGCTATGTTTACAGTGTTTGTTATAATGTTTGTAAACATTTCGAATCGGCATTAGGCCTATTTCTGAATGAAAGAATAAAATGCGACTTATACGTGACTTATGTTTTTTTTTCCCCTAAAAAACAATTATTTTTATACGCGTAGCGTATTTTAACCATGCAGCAAACCGTTTTAAATATTTTGATAAATTACTGAAAAAATAAATAATGAAATGACTTTTTAAAAAGTTTAACTGATTGTATTAATCGGTTAAAATTCTTACCGTTGGTTAACCGGTTAAACGGTTAAAATGAACATCCCTAGTTCAGTCATCTTGTGTGCTTCACATCATGGCACTGATGATTATTCTGCATGATCACTCATTTTGTGCTTTACGAGAGACATTTCACGCCACCAACCGCTGACACAATTAACTAGTTTAACTAAGCCCTTTCTCTGATGTTTATCTGTTGTGTTTGTAGGTGTCAGAGGAGGTTAAAGCCGAACCTGAAGATGTTCCAGTAAAGCCGGATCACGTGGCTGATGGTGTGGAGGTTAGACATTACTGTTTATTACATCATACACGCTTGTGTTTACAGCTCGTTTAAGGCTGTTCATTACAACCTTACAGTTACATTACAGTTCATTTAAGTTAAGTTGTAAATTACCCTAATAAAGAAACACATATACAAACTTGCCATTAAAAACAAAACGGAACTATTTTAACGGCTGCAACAGTAAGCTGTGTGAAGGGGAGGAGAAAAAACAAACAAACAAAAACGGCTCAAAAATATATTTTGCTTAAAATATCATAAGTATATTTTCTATAAACTATTACAACGGAGAAAAAAAACAGATTTTGAAAAAAATAAAACGTAATTTGGGAAAAAATAAAATGGATTTCATAGGGCCCTACATATGCTTAGTTTTCTCTATGGAAAAAAATATATATGTTTTTTTGGGGTGTAATATAACCTGAACGTGTTCATGAGATTCACCCTAAATGTACTGAATTCAAACCTGACTGGAAGTGGTTCTGATGGGAAAAATGAGACCGGTTTAATCAAACACGGTGTTGTGAAGCTCAGAGCTTATTTACCGCGGTGCCAGAGGATCGTGGGAACTTCTGCAGGAATCCAGCTCTTGATATAATCTGGAAACCCCTCGACTCTGTCCTTCACAGTAAACACGTTTCCCACCGCGTGCTTTATGAAGCTCTCTGCGTCCTCATTGAGCAGCGTCTGCAAACTCGAAGGGAGTTTCAGAGGAGATTACCGTCTGTCTGAGAGACGCTCTTCAGGATCGGTTTAATCTGTCTGGGAAACGTCTCGGAGATTAATATGATGAAATCTAACATAACACGTATCTCTCTGTCGCTGTGAGAGCGTTGGATCTGCAGCTCCATCACTGTAAATCCTTTATCTCGTCCTTAAAGAACGTCTGCTGCTGGTTTGTGATCGTCAGTATTTGTGATGTTTTTATAAATGATCCATTAGAGGCTGACCTTCAGTAAATTTCAAGCTTGAAATAGCAGCTGTGAGAAGCTGAATTATACAGTTTTTTTTGGTGTGAACTAACCCTTTAACTTTGGGCTTACACTTGTGACCCTGATAATTAAAACTGACTTTGTTTTCCTCTTTTTTTTTTTTTTTCTTTTTTTTTATGAAATGAATCAGGGTTATTATTGTTAACTAAATCTGAAACCTTCAATATTTTTATCACTGTTTTTTTTTTTCAGCTAGTAGCCAAGGTAACATTTCCCATTTTAGTTTAGTTCAAGTTAGTTCAAAAGTAGAAACTAAAATTTAATAGAGACTATATAGATATTAATAGAACAAATAAAAATGACAAAAACACACAACATAATTACTAAAACTAACTAAAATTAAATTAAAAACAGAAATTATAAAATAAAATCAAATTCAGAGTATTCATAAAAACTATAATAGCATAGAATTGTATGTAAATACTAAAATAACACTGAAATCTACGATATTTTAGGTCAATATATTTTCTATAATATTTTGTATTTAAAGCAGATTTCATAATACTAAACTAAAAATACTAGTAATATTCACCTCTAAGATATGCACAATTAATTTCTATATAAGATAAAAACATTTTTAAAAACACTTTTATACAATTTTTGCAGCAAGTTAACGATCGAGGAAAATTTTTTCAGACATTTTAATAGGTTATGTATTTGATTATATATTTAGACATTATCAAAGACTACTTTTTGTGAACGTTTAGATTTGTTATTTGTTTGTTTTTTTATTGAACTGTTATTTTGAAGTGCAAATTTGCAATATATATATATATATATATATATATATATATGTGTATATAAACATATTTTGGAGATTAATTTGTACCCAGAAATGGTTTAAATCTGACAAAATATCCCAAAACCTCCTTTTAGGGACATCCTCATTTGAAAAAAAAAATGCATAAAAATAAAGTAATTAAAGTTTTGTGGCTGATTTGTTAGTATAAAAAAATTGTGTATTTTTCGTATTTCCCATTCATTTCCTATTGGCAGTCATGTTTGACCGCTAGAAACACGTGTGACTTTTTTTTTAAGACCCTTTCGCCTTTTTAAATTGTTCTTGATTTATTTGTTCACATAGCCAGTGTGACAAAAGTCACCAAGTTTAACACCATTCTGATGGTAACAAAGATCATTTAAGTGTTGATGTTGTGTTGACACGGGCAGGTGGTTTTGCTCTGTGATGAACTCTGTGACAGTGACACTGAAGTGTGCTGTTTCTGTCCCAGAGTTCAGTTGCTCCACAGGTGGAGGTGTGCTGTGAGACGGAGCTGGAGAGACCATTAGCGCCATCTACTGGTGAAAAAGAGAAGTATATGAAGGCCCTGAATGAGACCATTGCGATGGGGAGACGCTCCACATGGGCTTCAGTTAGAGAAGAAGAAGAAGCATTGGACAGCAGAAGCTGTGTTGAAGCTGTGAAACATCTTCTGTTTCCTATACAAACCTCTGAAGAGATTCCT